AAAATATACATATGTATAAATATAATATATGTGTGTGTGTGTGTGTCGTGTAATGTATGAAGAACAGAAGCAAATACACACGGATAGTATTGTTGTAAAAAGAGCCTCCTCTACAGATGTAACAAAGTACTGTTCAATGGGGACATCTATTTTATTGCACAGGACATTTTTGTTTTGGTAGCTACATTGTCAAGGTAATTTATCTTTTTTTCTAGTAAATAAAACAAAATCTGTCCTACTTTCAAGTCTTTTAATAAAACGTTAAGTCCTTATGATGACCGACCTGGTGATAGTGACATGTGGCATACGTCATGTACACGTCATTTTGTGTTGATGTCTTTCATTCGTTACTAGATAGTGAGCCGTTGGAGGGTGTCACTGGCAACTCCTACTTGTTTTATTCTCTCTGTAGTTTCTGTCTCTGTCTTGCTTTTTTCCTGTACTAAATTACCGTTAGTAGGTGGTTGGCGGGCGCTCTCTTATAGTGCGGCTTGCTCCTTACCTATTAAGAAAAAATCTGCTGTCCCTATCTCTCCTCCTTTTGCTTGTATGCTACTCTCTAGTTGTTACAGTTTTAACCTTTGGCACTTATGTGACCTTCAATGTATGTTGCAAGTGCCGTAAAACTCTCATTAAACCAAACAAAAACCGCCACCATTGAGTCGATGTGCTCGTTTTTCCTGATACAAACTCACAAACCGCTCGCTGAGACTCACACATAACAGGACGAGACACCGAGAGAGTACCTTGAAAGGTGGTCGGAAGGCGTCACTGGTAGCTAGCTCTTACTTATTTTTTTCTCTCTTTGTCAGTTGTGTTCGCCTTTCGTCTCTGTCGTGCGTCGTCCCTGCACTAAGCTTATCATGATGCTATTCTGTTGATGTGCGTTTCTTTTAATCAACTTCAAACTGTTCAGTGTTAGCTCCTTCTTTCTGGTCGAACATCTATCGTCTTTATATTCCTCTTTTTTACTTTGTAAGTTGCTCTCTAGTAACAACTCTAATCTTCGGTACTTTTAATATGCGAAGGCTGACTTGTTTGACAGGGTAATCAAAGTGAAACGGGACCAGATAGGGCTTGGAGATATCACACAAGAATCTTACTCGAGGCGGCGACACTGAGTTGTAAATGAAAACAAATCCTGAATTCATATCATGTTCAACCGCCAAAATATTCGGGAAAGTCTCATTAAATATCAATTCCAACTAATTTTAAATCTAACTTTCGATGTGAATTCACAAACACAAAGCAAAGAAGCAGAGATATCAGTACTAGATCTATATTATACCAGTGAGTCTAAACTCTTTGGTAGAACATGACAATTATAATTTTTTAAATTTCACATTTGGCTGTTTTAGTCTAGCCTTTCGCAGCCAGGAGCCGGAGTCATAATCGAGGTCACGATCTGATTATAGGACGGTAAAAAGTCGAGGAAAAAAAACAAAGCACTCTCAGCAGTCAAGAGATTATTAGGAGTTAGTTCCTAATAAAACTCGCACAAAAAAGTCAAGGAACAGCTTGAGTTTTCTCCTGTCAAATTCAAACTTCAATATCTCACAAACCCGTTAAGATCAGTCAACCAAACTTGGCACACGCACCGACGACTAGACACAGTATGCATGTACTACAAATTTGCCAGCACCAGCTTCATAGCGACGGCGCAGGGCATTCTGAAACACAGCCGAAAAGCATGAAAAATGGGCTAAATTTCTCCGACTCGTCAACATTGGCATAGGGACTGTTTGCTAAAACTAAGCTTGGCACGTGCTAAAGAGATGTCTTAGCTGTGAATATTGCACACTTACAACCCTGTATAAGCCAGCGTTTTTCAGCCATGTTTCATTACAACACGACGGTCCAACAACGCTCGCTGCCTGACGTCGACAGAGGACGAGCCCTTACCTTGATCCAAGATGGCTCCAAGTTCCCAGTTATTGCACATCGACTTGGGGTGTCTCCATCAGTCATATAGAGGCTGCAAGAACGATGGCGAGCGACCGGAAGGGTCCAGGACAGGCCTCAACCAGAACCGCCCCGTTTGACCAACAACAGCATCGACCGGTTTATCGTCAAACAGGCCGTGACGTCACGAACCACCACTGCAAACGGCATCAAGGACCAACTACGGGCGACAGCCAATGTCCACGAGACAGAGCAGACGGTAAGGAACCGTATCCGTAGAGCCAAGTTCGCTTCTTGTGTCCTTGCCAGGCGCCCAAGGCACACGCCGCCCCACAAAGCAGCTCGCCAGGCGTGGTCTGCTCGCCATTCACAGTGGACACGACGTCAGTGGGACCAGGTAGTCTTCTCAAACGAATCCAGATTCAACCTACTGCACCAAGACAGGCTAGCCCACGTCTGGAATCGCTGAGGAGAGTGTTCCACCCTGAGTGCATCCAGCAGGTGGCACCCTACGGTGGAGGGTCCGTTCTGATGTATGGAGGCTTCTCAGCTCACCACAAGACCCCCTCTAACATATACAGGGCAATTTGACCGTGGCAAGGTACAAGGAGGAAATCCTGCGTCCCCTTTGTGTTCCTCTCCTGCAGCATATTAGACCCCAGGTTGTACTGCTGGACGACAACGCCGTGCAACTTCGCGCACGCATCGTGGGGGACTTCCTGCAGCAGCGAACTGTCATCCGCATGGACTGACCAGCTTGTAGTCCGGATTTGAACCCAATAGAGAACATTTGGGATCACATTGACTGGTGGATAAGGGACAACCACCTTCCTGCACAAAACTTTCAACAACTCTTGGGATACCTCGTCCTGGAGTGTATAACCTACCCCAAACAAGTTCTCCGAAGGCTTTTCCTGTCCATGCGTCGACGCTGTGCCGAGTGTTTGATCAAACGGGGTGGATACTTCCACTATTGACAATGTTCATGAAGAACTATGGCTGTTCAGACTTTGGAAATCCAACCAGTGTGATTTAAACTCATTTTACATGAACTTCCCGTTGTTGTTGAAATCTGAAGTTCTACACATTTAATCTAAAGAGTCGAAAGTATCTCTTGTGAAAAAATGAATAAATTCGGTTAAACTGTTCTTCAGTTATCTTCCTTTGAATTTTTGTGCGAGTTTTAGTTCCCCTCACATTTGTGAGGTAGACTCGACCAGTGTAATAGTTAGCTTACATAATCAGTGCTTGTGACTGCTTATAGCTTTAGCCCGAAAGGGGAGAACAGGGTATAATATGTGGCAATGAAACAGTTTTGACTGCTATGCACATGTTCCCTTCAACTCTATTGGTAGACTCTTCCAGCCTCACTTTAAGCTTACTTTTAATCAAAGCTTGCGACTGCTTATAGAGTGGCCCGAAAGGGGTGAGCAGGCTATTTCTGTGGTAGTGAAACCGTTTTGAATGTTAGGCATACTTTTCATTGTTGATTATGAACGTCTTTTTACCTTTAATTTATGAGGTTTACGTTTATGGGTGAATTTGACTGCGACAATGGTTCAATATTATGAAGGGAAGCAATGATTATTTGATTATATATATAGACGCTTCGTCACTGCTTTTATGACCTGATAACCAAATTATGTTGCAACTGCTGTAAATCTTTCTCTCAGACTCAAACCTAAAACTCTTACCCAAACTCGAGCCTAAATTTACTCCGACACGTATCTAGTTGTCCTCTGTAGCATAGTCATCAGCATTCATCATATTATCTCTTTCTGTTTGTCTTACAGATGCCGTAAAACCCTGACCCAAACTCCAATATAAATCTACTCAAACACGTATCCGGTGGCCCTCTGTAGATTATAATCTTCAGCACTCATAAAACCTTCTGTATTGTGTCGCAAATGCCGTAAAACCCTCGCCCAAACTCCAACCTAAATCTACTCAAACATGTATCCGGTAGCTTATAATCTTCAACACTTGTACAGTGCCGTAAAACGCTCTCCTAAACTCCAACCTAAATCTACTCAAACACGTATCCGGCAGCCCTCTGTAGCTGCGCCTGTAGCAGAGAGAGTAGTGCGGTCCTCTCTCTCCTGTCAAAGTCCTCCCTCTCGTGCTGTAGCTCCAACTCCCGGCGTCTCAGGGCTAGCTCCTGCTCTCTCAGCACGGCGTTCCGCTCGTCCTTCATCTTGAGGTACTTGAGGACTTCCACTAGATCACTGCCCGGGCTGTCCCCGCGCTTTCTTTTCCCGCCTAGGGGGTTGGGGTGGGGCGGGACGGGGCGGGAGCGGGTGGGGGTTTGGAGGGAGTGGAGAGAGGGGGGGGGGCAGGGGGCACATTGGGAAAATTATTGTTATTATTATGGGACAGAGCGCTGTAAACACAAGTAGTAGTAGTAATAGTTGTTGTTGTTGATGTTGTAGTGGTTGTAGTAGTAGTAGTAGTAGTATTAGTAGTAGTAGTAGTAGTAGTAGTAGTAGTAGTAGTAGTAGTAGTAGTAGTAGTAGTAGTAGTAGTAGTAGTACGAGTAGTAGTAGTAGAATTTTCCTCGAATAACGCATTCGCATCTGAGCTTTCCACCTGAACTTACATCTCACGATCGGTGGGTAAGGCCCACAGGGCCATATCAGACGGAATCACATCGAACTCTGAACTCGTCACTGCCTTCGTTCCCCCGTACATCGTGGAAGTCGTATGTCGCCTCTACTCTCAAATTCGCTAGACACACTAGATTATAACAGGTGCGGTCACAATACAATTATAGTGCGTTACGGCAGAGCTGGAAAACTACATGTATATATTTTGTACACGGAGTAAGGGAGGGGTCAATAGGATCAACGTAAATTTGAAGACCCACGGTTGGAAAAGGGAAAAAGGTATGCCGTGCCTCATGATCAAGGTAGACCACTTTTTACTAGCCATAATTCATGAACCCATCAAGGGGTGACGTCAGTTCATTTCAGAGTAAAACTAGAGATCATTCATTTTACCGAATGTGGACCTGACCATAATTCACTATGAATCATTCTTATTGTGGTTCGGCTTCCCGCATTTTCCTTGCTCCTAAACGCTGGGATCTTAGGCGGAGACTACTGCGCGCGCGCACACACACACGTAAAATTTAAAAAAAAAAAAAAAAAAAGCTACGACAAAGTGTTTGAGGTGAGTGAGCTGCATTATTTAATTTGGACAGTGCAAACATGTCCGTGTGAGCTTAGGGTAGAGACATAGTATATGAGACTTGCTCGATGTTTTGGCATATTTTTTTTGATGATTTAACATTTGATGAAGCGATGCTCCCAAAATACCTGGTGCGAACAGAGTGGGAGCGTCTTTCGGTCCTAAAACTCGCCAGTAGATCTTTGAACAATGGACGAGGAAGGTGTTTTTCACAATGATTGTTATCATGGTTGCACAAACAGTGACGAGCCCGGCGTGATATTTTGGGTGTATAATTAATGGAGAGTACCATTACCTAATGAACGAAATACATACTGAAATGGAAAGATGCTTCGGTTACATTTCCAGAATGAAATCATCAAACTGTAGTTTTATCACCCTTATCATAAAGGCGTTTTCTTTCTCAGTGCTTCCCTGTCCATTTTGCGCGACGTTGTAATGAAAATGAGCTTGCAAACTACACACTACACACATTCTATCTAACTAGCAGTAATTTCACGACTGACACCTAAAGTGTTGGTGCAGCTCGTAATGCACTCGCGGCACAATTTAATTTTTAAAAAAAATGCATCCCCGTCACAAACACGTCGCGCGACGACCCGATTCTAGCGGGCCTCACAGTCCTTTAACAAAAATAAAATCTGCTGTCATCACAAAGATGGGTCATGAACGCTTACTCCTCTCTTCAACTGCTAAGATGTTCAGGAAAACGAAGGCAGCGGCGAGTTCACTGTTTACTTACTCTTTTTAAAAATTAAAACAATTACCCGGGTGGCGGCTGAAGCCTACTCTTATCGAATTTGGACCACCAAGGGATCTTTATAGTGCGCAACTTGCACATGGGACCACCGAGAGTTTTCGTCTTTGTCAGAGAAGGCTAGGTACTGTGTAGATCTTACCTACCATAAGATCAAGGGTGTGGCTGAAAGACAGCAGTAAGAAGGAGCCAAGGAAAACCCGTGGAAAGGCTACAAAACTAGCCAGGAGCCCAGAGTAGGCGGCAAAGGAGGTGTTGAGGGGGTGGGGGCAAAAAGTGGAGACGAAAGCAGACGACACAACATTGTTAGAGAGGAGGAAAGGATGTTTCTCCGTCTACTGAATGAGAGGCTTACGCCTTAAAGGGCTGTTCAAATATAATCTTACACCTTTTTTGGGACATTTTGACCCCCCCCCCCTTTCTT